GTTGTTGTGGCCAGCCAGTGGCCAGTGGAACTGGCAGCAGGGTCGGACAGTGAGGAGGTTGGGGAGGAGCATGGAACAGTCCCGGAGGCTGGGGAAGGCTCGGACGAGGGCTCTGCGTCAGAGGCAGAGACAGGGCTGAGGCCGTCTGGCAGTGATCAGGTGCCTACAGAGCTAGACAGCAGTGAGGCAGAGGAACAGCTGGAGCCTGTTCCCAGTGTGCGCATGCGTAGAGCTGCCGGAAGAAAAGAACAACTCAGAAATCAGGATAGACTTGGGAGTAAAGTCACAGGTGGAAGGCGATTGGCCCCTTCCATAGGAAAAAAAAGAGGAACAAAAGGGGAGTGGACTTTTGCAGGAAACAATTAATTCGTTCGGGCATTAGATTCGTTTCAGGAGTGTGAAGTTCTGTCCGTGAATCTCAGAGATTCTGTGCCCAGTCTTTCCTTGCACAGCACCTCATTTGGAAAATATTTACATGGCAGCTTTCCAAGATTGATAAGGTCTGTAGTCATAAATATTCCTTTGAAAGACTGTTTACCAGGCCTTTGCTGAATGTGAATGAGAGGAATTTGTTTAATAAAAAGGGTTTGGTCAGGACCAGGACTCTGCCTTGTGCTTTTTGGGGAAGTCTGGGTCAGAACAACTACCTAGCTTAGTAATGTGATGTCTGCAAGAAAATCACCAAACTCAGAGAGCACCAAGGATCCTGGTTAGCTACAAATATATTGGATCAATAGATGTGCAGAAAATTGTACCACTGGCCACTAGGGAGCACTCTGAAATTATTTTAAGCAAGTAAAAACTTGCATCCAGTTGAGTAATGTACAAAACAGAATTAAGATCTCAGTTTACTCACTTCACCAGCCTTGACTTTTGGTTCCTGAATTTCCCAAATTCACCTGGTGCCGTCCACTCGTTTCCAGTCTGAACAAAGAGACAAAACATCCCTTTTAAATTGGGCTTCAGTCGCAATAAAGCCTGAACACATTTGTTTCACTTACTGTATAATTGTGTACAAGAGATTAATCACAGATTAAAAAGCATAATAAATATCGTCAATAGTGATTGACCGACAGGAATGTTCTTGATTGCTCCTTGCTCTTGCCGTTAAGAGATGGAACAGCATCTCTGTCAAAGCTGGATGAGGGATATAAGAAGAGATGGATTGTAGAAGTGGAAGAGGCTGTTCAGCTGCTAGATTTGCCAGGTGCTACAGTGTCATTCTTGGCTGACCCACATTTAGATGGGCTCAATGAGGCCGTGGCCGAGTAAATGGGGCCAAAAGGAGAAGCAGAGACAGAGCAAAAATTATGAGCTATAAATATTGAATGAATGTATGTAGGCATGCATGCATGAATGAATGAAATAAGACATTGTGAGTGCTGGCCAACAGAGACAAAAAGCATGAAAATCTTTAGAAAGTAGGATAGCATGCTCTTACTCCTTTTGTTGCCATTTCTTAAATTTTATAAAGTAAAAAAAACAAAAACTCTTGCTTTTAAAATATCCAAAAACTTTCTAAATGTGACTTCATATGACGATAACCCATACACTTAAATTCATAACACTCTTCCTATTTTTCATTATCGTCTTCATTTGTGTAACCCAAACATCACACGAAAGTTTATTTTCACAGTGTGAGAACTCATGAAAACTAGAATCAGAATCCCCACGGGCCTTGAATTAATACATCCAACACGTGATAAACATATGTGGTTATGAAATGTTAATATTATGTATAAGACAAGTTTGCTGTGATATATACTCTTAACTCTTCTGGAGTTCTATGCTACATTGGATGTAGATAGCAGTATTAAATGGGAAACTGTTTTACATTATTTTCTCATTTCATTTTTACATTTCCCATTTTGTATCCTGCTACAAATCTGACAATCGGTATCCGTGGTCTCTGTAATAGTCCCAGGTAATTCTATAATTCTGAATACAGAATGGCAGGGGTGTCAAACTGGCGGCTCGCGGGCCAGACACACATCATGTAGGCCACGCCCAGGCCAGCTCCACAAAGAGAAAAAAAATCGCAATACGTCACGTGACACAGCGAGTTTGACATGTACTATGTACTATGCGAGTTTTGACATGTACTATGACACACCATTCAAGAATATATGACAGCTTTCAAACACAACGATATCACGGTTGAAACATTAATTAACCTCCATAATAAATTGGTATAGTAAAGTTATATCGATTTCAAATGCACAATATTTATCAATTTATATGGACAACTCTTTTCTTTTGAAGTGTAGTAATAGCAATAGCACTTTAGACTTATATACCGCTTTATCACAGTGCTTTACAGCCCTCTCTAAGCGGTTTACAGAGTCAGCCTCT